TATGTATCTATTTATCTATGTATCTACCTGCCCATCTAAATATGTACGGATACGTGTGTATGTTCTCATCGTCGACCTGTCTTTCCATAATTTCCATATATCCATATACCGATCTACGTGTTCATCAACCCACTTCTCTATCCCATCTGTATGTCTACCTATCGGACTATGTACCAACCCATCTACTTATCTATTTGCTTCTCTATGTGAGGATCCGTTGATCGGTTTGTCGATCTATTTATCTATGTCTGGCTAGCTCTCTCTCTCTCTCTCTCTCTCCCCATGTGTCTGTTTATCTTGATGGCTCAACTATCCATATATGTATCTCGCTCTCTGTATGTACCGCTCTACCTGTTGATCTTTCTTACATATCGCTCGCTCTGTTTGTCTGTCTGTCTGTTTGTCTGTCTGTCTGTGGGTCTGTCTGTCTGTCTGTCTGTCTGTCTGTCTGTCTGTCTGTCTGTCTGTCTGTCCGTCTGTGGGTCTGTCTGTGGGTCTGTCTGTCTGTCTGTCTGTCTGTCTGTCTGTCTGTCTGTCTGTCTGTCTGTCTGTCTGCCTGTCTGTCTGTCTGTTCGTCTGTGGGTCTGTCTGTCTGTCTGTCTGTCGGTCGGTCGGTCGGTCGATCGGTCTGTCGGTCTGTGTGTATGTATCTATCTATCTAGCTATCTATCTGCCTGTCTGTCGATCGGTCTATCTATCTATATAGTGACCCATCAACCTGGCTATCTATTTATTTGTCTATGTACCTTTCTATCTGTTTGTCTATCAAGACATTTTTCGGTCGTAGCGAGAAAAGGGGCGACAGAGAGAGAGCGAGAGAGAGAGAGAGAGAGTTGCCAGTGGAGCACCCGCCGCACAACAGAGAAGGGGAACCTGCTTGCCGAGTTCGGGACCGACCGGGGGGACAAGCACAGCTGGAAGTCCCACCGCCTCCACCCGCTGCACTCCAAGAGGAACGAGACACAGACCACCACCGCCGCCCGGGACTACCTCAAGGAGAACCAGACGCAGGCCACCAGGCCCTCGACCTACCACAAGGACTACCTCCAGGACTACCACAAGGAGAACCGCGCACGGACCGCAGACCTCCGGGACTACCTGACCCACGCGACCTACCAGCACCTCCTGCACTACCTCAACGACCTGAACGACCCGAACCACCGGCTTCTACCCTGGCTCCACAACCAGTCCTACCCTGGCCGTTGGAGCTACTACAACAACCCTCGCCAAGCCTACAACACCTGCTACGACAGACCTACCCTTCGCGGCGGAGAACCACGAGCCCTACGAGGACCCAGAGGACGTCGCCTACCAGTACAACACGAGGGGCACCCGCCCTACCGGAGAAGCCAGACGAGGGCACACCGAGAAGGCGAAGGAGAACCAGCTCAAGGAGACCAACAACACAGCGACGACGCGAGGCACCCGGAGCTCACACCTACGGAGCCGGAAGCCACCTGGGACGAGAACGCAGACACGGTCCCGTGGCAAGCTGGGCTTGGGGCACCACCACAGGAAGAAGAACGACTGAGGGGCACCAGCTCGCAGACCTCTGAGAGTCAGGAAAGCCACCGCAGACGTAGGCTCCTGGGAGCACTCGCTGGTGACTAAGGGACTGGTAAGCTAGGGCCTCGCAGTGCTTGTTGCTTTGTCTGCGTACCCCTGAAGTCACCAGGAGCACCCGCCCGAAGACCGGTACTCCTCAGATGTAACAAGGGGCACCCGCCCGAAGACCTGTACTCCGCGGTTGTAGCTACGTAACATGGCCCGGGCCTCAGTTGAGTGTGTTGCTTCCTTGCGTTTCAGGAGTACCCCCGAGTCTCGGGGCACACAGTCTCATGCACAGCTG